TGAATGAATACTATGTACTCACCACTGTCCTGGCCCATTAGAGACACGGAAGAAAAAGGCAAAGTTCCTGTCGGTGATAAAGTGCTTGGGTTTCAGGGTCAAAACTCACTTGTCATTTCTGCTCCCTCTCTGACCGCCACAGTTTAAGCCCTACATTCTCCATCTCTCTTTTCCTTCACACCTCTCATCCACTCCATCCCCTCCTCTCTGCCCCTTCAGCTCCCAGTCTCAGGCCACCCCAGGCCCCCTCCTCTTTAGCCTGGATGTTTGTGGAATAGCCTCCACTCTCAACTCTTCTGTCCCTTCAAGCATCTTCCCATCCCCTCTTTTCCAAGGCCCATGAGGCTAGAGTGTTCTGGCCCCTGTCCATCCCTCCCTCTGCCCCACCTTCTGCTGCTCAGCTCCTCTCCCCTTGGTCCCAGCTATGCTGCCCACTCAGGCCCTGGACAGGAAGCCCTAGACATTCTCAGAGCTTGTGCACTCACCATTCTGTTTGGCCTTCCCTTGGGTCTCTTTAGGGCCACTTCAGGGGCCTCTTGACTTCCCCAGCCAGAGTAGCACTCCAAGGCACACACCTGCCACTTTCTGTTACCTTTGTATGTTCTTGATCCACTAGCAAAAACTTTCTATTTGTCTATTTCCTGGATAGTCTCTTTCGCTCTTTAACATGTAAGGTTCACAAGAGCTGGGACTCTGTCCTTCTTTCACGTGCCTAGTCCCTAAAGTAGAAGCTGGTCAACAAAGTTTGCTAACTGAGGGGCCAGGCTTCAAATGCATTCTGAACAAATACCTCCCCTCTGTTTTCTGTCAAATTGGAAAACATTTCCCTCCAGGTGTGGTGCGACTCCCATAAGACGTGTATAATGTGCCCAACAGACTGTTGCATCTGGCATACATAACTTATGATCTTGACCATATAGTTTCCAGGGGACTCTAAGTGTGGGGGACGCTGATGGAGTCATGACTCCGTCTGGGGGATGCTGATGGAGTCGTGACTCCATCTGTGCAGAGCTTTTGTCTGGAGAGGGAGATTCCAGTGCTAGAGGTTTCTCCCTTGAGGAGTTTACGTAGGATGGAGGAAGCAAAGGTTTCTCGTCAAAGCGGCAAGACACACTTCAGAGACCCAGAGGTAATAGCAGAAAGTCTGCTAGGAGGAGCCACTCACAGTTCTCTGGACAATCTTAAAGCTGCATAATGTCAGGATGACTAACCTCTGTCACTTGTGCCTTGTACTTCTGATCTTTCTAGTTCTTATCTTGTCTGGTGACCTTGGAGAAAACAGTGCACCAGTCACATTGCCCCTTCAATCACCCACTCCCTGCTCTGCCTTCATGCACCAGGTTTGCCTATTCTCCCAGGCACCCAGCAGCAAAATAAATTAAACAAGACCAAAATGAATAGAGAATATATCTTGTTCAAGATTGGAAGACTCAACATTGTTAAGATGCTAATTATCCACAATTGTGTTAATTTTTTTACACAATTAACACACAATTCACACAAACACACAAACTTTGATCCAGATATAGCACCATACAAAAAATAAATAAAACTTAAAATCAATTGAAGACTTAAACCTAAAACTACAAAACTCTGGAAGAAAACTTAGAAATGTTTTGTGATCTTAGATTTAGCACAGTTCTCTGATGTAAAAAACAAAAGCATGATCCACAAAGAGAAATATAGAGAAAGTGAACTTCATCAAAGTTGAAAACTTTTCCCTCCCAAACAGGACTAAGAGGATGAAAAGACAAGCCACACAGAGATAAAATATCAGCAATTATCACAAATATTATGAGAAAAGCAATATGACAAAGGACTTGTTTCCAAAATATGTAAAGCCCTCTCAAAACTCAGCAATAACCAACCAGGATAAAAACGGGCAAAATATTTTAATAGACACTTCACCAAAGAAGATATGTGGATGATATAAACACATGAAAAGATGCTCAAATCATGAGTCATTAGTGAAATGCAAATTAATACCACAAAAAGATGCCATTACATACCTATGAGAATGAATAAATCAGAAAAACTTTGTGTTGAAAAGTGTATGAAACAACTGGAACTCTCACACATTGGTAGTGAGCAAGTGAAATCATACAGCCATTTTGTAAACATTTTGACAATTTCCTATAAAATTAAAGTTATGTCATACACTTTCCATGACAGCAATTCCACTGCTAGGTGGACCCAAGAGAAATGAAAACTAATCTTCATACAAAAACCTGTATGTAAATGTTCACAACAGCTTTATATACAAAGTCCCCAAATGGGAAACAATTCAAATGCTTTTCAGTGAGTGAATGGATAAACAGATTTTGATACATTCACACAGTGGAATGCTACTCAGCAATAAAAAGAAAAACCTATCAATGCATGAACAACACTTATGACACTTAAGTGGAATGTTCTAAGTGAAAGAAGCCAGACTCAAAGGGTATGATTCAGTGTATGTTCCATTTACATGATGTTCTGGAAAAGGCAACACTAGAGTAATGAAGAGATTAGTGGTTGCCAGGGACTTCGGTGAATAGGGGATTAGTGGGGAGAACAGGGAATTATTTAGAGTGATGGAACCACACAAGGAATTATTTAGGGTGATGGAACGGCTTTGCTTCTTGATTTTGGTCATGGTTACATTACTGTAGGCATTTGTTATAGGCCATTCAACTGTATACCAAAAAGATTGAATTTTACTGTCTATGAAATAAATAAATTTAAAGGAAACAATAAAACTTAAAGCCTTTCAAATAATCTGTAAGACAACTAATTGGGTGTAGGGGTTTTTGTGTTCATTTCTATCACTTTTTTTGTATCTTCTACTTTTTCCACTTTTTCTAAATTTATATTCCCTTGCTTTGTTGTCTCCTTTATTTGACTTTTCCCTCTTGTTCTATTTTCCAGAAAAATAGTTTGGCAGTTTTATACCCTCGTTCTGTTCTATCATTGGATGCCCTAGACTAGTACTGCCCAATAGAATGTTTGCAGTGATGGAAATGTTCTACATCTGTACTGTCTAATTCCACAGCCACAAGTGGTTGTTCTTAAGTACTTGACATGTAATGTAACTGAGAATTTGTACTATTCACCTTTTTCATTATTTGATTTTAGTTAAGTTGAATTTAAATTTAAATTTACATAATCACATGTGATTAGTAGCAACTGTCTTGAACAAAATGGCCCTAAACATTTTAACATTAATATTTAACTTAACAAAGTCCAAAGTGAATTGAATAACTCCTCCTAAGCAACACAAAGCTAAAGTCTGTAAACACGTCTCCTTTATTTACAGAAGAAAATCCAAAGACCTACACATGGAATTCAAAGAAAAAAAAGATACTGCAGCTATTCTCCAGAAAGCTATTCTACCTCTCTCCCACTTTTTAGGAGCCATACATGTATGGAAATGAATTCATGCCAGCTTAAGAATATCTATATGTGCCCTCTCAATCACAAGGTTTTGTGCTGAAATGGGTGAGCTACTTAAACTGGGACAATTAGATGGCAAAGAGAAGTTTCCTCAGGAAACCAGGATAGACTCATTATTGGGAGAGTAAAGCACCTGATACTACTACAGCTCTATTTGTCACTATGCAGAAAGCCAGCCAGGGGATAGTAAGAAAAGCAGAACATAGGAACTGAACACACAAACACGTCCTTAAAGAAACTGTATACCAATGAATGAAGAGCTCAGCTGAATTCTGGAATGTCCACTCATGTGAGCCAATGAATCCATTTTATTGTTTCACAATTAGAAAATATTTCTACTGGAAATATGGAAAGCTCTTATTGATATAAAGCCTATTTTGATCTTGGCACCATACTACCTTATCAGTACAGAAAGCATTATTTGCATACCACATTCTTGAATTCTCCTTATACAGCATCAAATAAAGCTATCCTGTCCCCCAAATATGTTTTCCTGTGTACATGACTATACTCAGGCCATTCCTTCATCCTTGATATACTAGTGAAATGTCATTCATTCTTTTTAAAAAATAAATTAGTGTTAGACATACAAAATGCATATTTAATGTACATACTTAATGTATACAACTTGAGTATGGAGATACATTATTACCACAATCTATGCCATCAACCTATCTATCACCTCCCAAAGTCTTTTCCTGCTCTCTTATTATTTTTGTAATAAGAACACTTAACATAAGATCTATCATTTTAGCAAGAATTTGAGTGTACAATAGTGTTAACTATTGGCACCCAGGCTGTACAGATCCCCAGAACTTATTCACCTTGTATAAGGAAACTATGTACCACCTGACTAACACCTCCATTTTCCGCTCTTCCCAGCCCAACAACCACTTCTACACCTGAGTTTGACAATTCTAGATTTATTATTCATTAATAAATCATTTCTCATATGACACTGCTGTAGTTTCCTAAGTCTGAATTAAGCATTCTTTTCTCTGTACTCTAAAATCACTTGTTTATGTCTCAAATTAGTATTATCAGTTTGCATATTTTGAGCAAAATAGTGTGGGTCAAAAACCAGTCTCTGCATTCTGACGGCCTAGGTTCAGATCCTTGCTCTGAAGTCCGTTACTTCTGCAACTATAAGCAAGCTGAGCTTCAGTTTCTTCTTTTGTAAAATAAGTATGATAATAATACTTACTACATAGTTCTATTAACTGTTAAATGGAATAATCAATATAATGGGACACAATTCCAGGCCTACAGTGTTTCCTCAGTAAACATTAGCTAATTATTTTTGCCTGACTACACTTTCCAAGATTTTAAGTGCCTATATTGTTTGTTAGTCATCTTGTTGTCTTAGGACATGTTTGGCACTGTTAACTCATACCCTATCATTTTGCTTTCCACAAGCACTTATGTGTATGAGCTCCCCAAATATATTTTAAACTACCTAAGAGAAAGACTTATAACTACCATTGTTTAAGAACTTATCTCCAAGAACCTCATATGGCACTATGGTTAGATTATCACTCCTGTGGGGAGTTGTAAAAAAGTAGACACACCTCTGAAACTTCAGGTCTAGTCCTCTGGTCATCTCCCGTGGCACTAAATGACTTGTTTTCTTCAGTCTTCATGGAATTCATGATGAGTTCAAAGAGAACATAACTAACTTCTACTAGTGGATAAGATGGAGAAACAAGGATTGAATTTATTCTGCCACGTGAAATGTCTAAAAAAAACCAAAAAAACAAGATCTATGAAATAACCACTTTCAAACACTGGACATCAGGTGGTGTGGGACCTCATCTCTAATATCTGAGAAGAAAATCATATGAGGTAAGCCCTATGGACATTTAGCTTACTGTATGCAGTTTCCAAGGCATATCTTAGGAAGGAGAAACAGGCAGAGTCTCACAGTTTCCCTGAGTTGAGAAGACAAGGTGGGAGTTTTGGGAGGCCAGGATGACTGAAACTTGTATGACAGAGTACTAGGGAGAAGAGAGCCACAGGAGCACACAGTATCAGAGATCTGCAGTGGGTATCCCTTGAGATTTCAGCTTGGTGAATGCATGGGTGGAATGAAACGGTTGAAAAGGAACAGGAAAAGAATTACCCAAAAGGAGTAGATGTAACAATTTCTGAGGCTCATACAGGACAGTGTATAATTTCAGTTCACAAAAATCTGACTAGAAAACTTCATAATTCATGAAGTATCAGGGAGACTACTCAGAAAGGTATTTCTTCCATAGTGGGACAAAATTAGCACTAGTTCTAGTCCCACCTGAAAAATAAAAGCAAGCTTTGAAAGTATAAAATGGTTTCCATGTAAAATATCAATGTACTAAAACAAAGCTCAAGAATATTGACAGGAATGTAAAAATTTCTGGCACACAATGTTGTGAAATTAAGAAAGCTTGATAACTAATAAAAATAACAGCAAGCACTTAAAAAGTGGATAAATATGACCCATAATGACTGAAAACATCAGTGAATAGAGACAGGTCCAGAAGTGAGAGAGATGATAGAACTGGTAGTCAGAAACATTAAAAGTCATTACCTTGAATTTCTGGCCAAAAAGGAGTAACAGGGACCGGATTTCCCCCTAGTCTGAAAATAAAACAGAACAACAAAAAAAATATGAAACCATGGTTTGCAAGGAACTGGACATGATGCAATTAAGGACAGTGACAATTGAAATGCATCCTATAATCCACGTTAGCAGACTACCTTGCAGGATTCCAGGCCAGTGTCGCAAGGAAGGGCGGCAAGACAAAGCTAGTTGGAATTCCAGATTTGAGGAGACAAAGCTGAGAGACCAGGGTGACAAGAGGTCACAGGTCACAGACCTGGTGGGAGACCTGCAAGAGATGGAACTCCAGATATATGAAGAGGGTTGCCCTAAAGCATCCAGCTGTGTATTGATCAGAGCAGCAGCTGAGAAAACTTCTCAAGGGCAGGAAAGAATCACGGTAAAACTGTCATAGTCTAACTTTCCTCCAGCCCTCTCCCTGTAACCCTTTTAGGGATCCTCATTTCCTCATTTCTAAATTAAGGACTTTGGCTCAGATCAAACTTGTATTGTTCGTGTGAATTGGTTCCTCTGAGCTTTTTAAAAAGGATTCCAGATCCCACCGTCACAGACTCTGATTCTGTATGTCGGGGTGTGGCTATGGAATCTGCACTTTTGCCTGCCTCACCCCGCAACTCCCCTCTCAAACGCGCACCACATTGTTTGAACAGCTGCCTCTGTCACCGCAGGATGACCTCAATGCTTTCCTAAAGCCCCAGAACCTATGAAGGTCACCTGTGCTTGAAGCTGTGCTTGCTTACAGAAACAGACTGGATGTCAGTAACCACCATGCTACAAGATGGGAAACGAACTTAGAAGCGCTACCCTAACCTGAACCCTTGCTAATTACCATACCTAAATCTCTGCCTCGGGGAGAAATGCACCTTGGTAGGTACATGTAGTGTTGGGTGCACAGGAAATACGAGACTGCCGCACTCAGCTTTTTCTGGAAAGCCCCACCTCTTTCCAGGAATCCTTGCTCTCCAACTACGTGCCCTAAAAGACCTTAAGAAACACCCCCACACTACACCCCAGGCACTTTGAGCAGGTGCTCCCCTACTCCATCCCTTGATCAGTGAATAGTTTCTGCTCTACTTAAGGGATCCTGGTCTCGTTCTATGGGCGCGAACGGCACGGGGCAGGGATAGGACCCACCGGGGTCAAACGACCCTCTTGAGATTCAGGAAAACCCAGACGATCTCCAAATATCTTTTCAGGAGTAAAACTCTTAGTCTTTGAAGCTGAGGGGCGGGGAAGGGAATTACCACACTGGCGGCTGCCCAGCTCCCCATCCAAAACCTCCTTGACTTTGGGCTGAGGTCCTTCTGCCTATTGCTTTTGTCAGCCATCCCCCTAAGAGAACTCCAGGTCCGACCCAGAAAAAGAAAAACCACTCACAGAACCGGAGAGTCTGTGCACGTGCCAGTCAGCGCCCACCGCTCTGGATTCGCAGGTGCCGGAAAGGCTGCTCTTTTGTAGCTCTCAGCTGAACTTTTCCCGCCTAGAAGGGCGCGCCGGCGCGCGGCAGGAGCTTGGGAATTGACACTCTCGCTGGCCAATGGACGAAGAGTCTCTGAAGGCTGTTTTTCTCTCATTGGATGTAAATGACTCATCTCTGGCCTAGGGACTGCGCGCCAACCCGCCCACCCTCCCTATTTGGCTGGATGACCCACGCGGGTCTTAGTGATCCCTTCCCCCTCACCACTGAGTCCGAGACCAGCTCCCGCCTCCCAGGATAAACTAAGCAATCACTGCCCTGCTCCTTCCCGCTCATAGGCGTCCCCTGTCTCCCAGTGGAGGCCAAGAGGAGCTGCGCGGCAGCTGGGCGGAGTGGGAGGCGCCTGGCGGTTTCGCGATTTCTGACTTTTGATTGCGAGCGGGAGCAGCGCGCTGGCGGGAGCTGCAGGGCGAATAACCCGCCAAGTTGCTTCGGTGTGTGGTAGTTGCTGCCGTTCTGCAGCTGCGAGGTGGGCGACGATGGCGGGACGAGCATCCAGGCGGGATCCGCTGACCGCAGCAGAGAGAGCTCCACCCGTATGATGCAGAGACCCAGTCCCAGAGCAGGCTGCACCCGCGTCTGCGTGAAGTCTACAGATACTTGGCCTGCTCTGCAAATGAACTAACTTCGCAGAGGGGCTGGCGAACACAGACAGTGCAAGCCTGGAGGAGGAAGCGGCCAGCACTGCTTAGGCCGGGTTCTCAGGACGCGCATTACTGAATGAGGTACTTTACCCTTCGAATGAAGACTCCAGAGTTCGGCCTCCCCAAACTGATATCAAAGAAGTGCTTTGCATGGGGCTTGAGAAAACATGTTACTGTTTAAGAAAAGAACGTCTTACTGCCTGAGACCCTGAAAAGAGAGAGATGCCTTTAAGTATTGGGTGTTATTTTTGAGAAGTTGGTCAAAGAAGGGGAGAAGATGGTTGATTAAGTGGGAGTGGTGACAATTATTTTGTAATTCATAGAAGGACAGATGTTTATGTAAAAGTTGATAGTTTTGGTGGAATAATCATGAACATGTTTCTGAACTTAATGTAAAATATACAGAGACCTCTAAAATCACTGCTTAAATTACACGGGTCTTGTGGTTTTCAGAAAGAGCAAACTTTAGAAGTATAATTGTAAAAATAATGTCATACAGACAAAGAGAAGAGAAAACTTAGTGACAGCTTTCTCAAATCGCTGTTATTCCTGAATCATCTGAAAGCAGTACACGTGACTGGCACCAATATACATCAGCAAGTAAATCGTTGCAAAAGGATTGATCTTCTTTTTTGTAGAATCTGGAGGAAAAAAATCTATGAAAAGCAAGAAGTGGTAGAGAATGATGTTGTCGAAATTGCCTGACATCATTGGAGATAGAGAATTTACCCTGGAAAAAGGCGCTCCTTAGGGAGGAGCATCTGCACATTCCATTAGCATAAAGCACCTGGTCGGCCATATGAAGAAGTCTGGATTTTGTCATAAATGTGAAATTTATTTTAAATGGAGGATTTGAAGCAAGGGAGTAATATACCCTGACATATTTTTAAAAATCACCCAAGCAGCTGTGCAGGGTACAAACTCTGAGAGGACAAGAAGAGATGTGGAAGGGAGAAGGCAGCTAAGAGTCTATCCCAGGATGGCAAAGATGTTGGAGCCGGCCTCAGATGGTAATGGTGGAAGTGTTAGAAATGGCTGGATTCCACATTTATTTTGAAGGGCCAGACCATGGAATTTGCTTATGGATGTTCCATAAATAAGAGAAACAGAGGGCTCAGTGATGATTCCTGGGCTTTTGACTTGAGCAACTAGAAGTACAAAGTCTCCATTAACTGATATGGGGAAGTCTGAGGAAGGAGATGCTGTGTGTGCCAGGTGTGTGTGTAATTCTTCTTTTGACATGTTGAATTGGAGATGCTAATCCACTCCAACTGAAAAATAAGGAGGGAAGTGGACATTCAACACATAATGTTGCAACCTCCACCTCCTGTATTCAAGCAATTCTCATACCTCAGACTTCTGAGCAGCTGGGATTACAGATGCCTGCCACCATGCCGAGCTAAGTTTTGTTTTTCTAGTAGAGATGGGGTTTCACCATGTTGGCCAGGCTGGGGTCGAACTCCTGACCTCAGGTGCTCTGCCTACCTCAGCCTCCCAAAGTACTGGGATTACAGAGGTAAGCTACCGCGCCTGGCCTGAGAAATATAATTAAAGTACAGGGAAAATTAAAAGGGAGAAGAAAGTTCATAGATATCACGGCAAACGATAAATACAAAAGCCTGCCTTGTTTCCTAGAGCCCCTGTGTCTTAGGTTCCCTGAATTTTACCTCCCAGCGGACCACTCTTGTCCCTTCATAATGGCGCTCCAAGCAGCACCGCTGCACACCAATTCCGAAGCTTCCCTGCTTCTTGAGTTTAGGAAAAGTTATGCTTCTACTTCCTCTTTATTTGCTTATCACTGGAGTAGCAACTGAACCACGCAATTGGGATAAGTAACCTGATGCCATTTTGGGGAGCAATCTTTCATTTCTTCCTTACGTATACAACTGACCCTCACAGAGAAACTGTCTAGAGCAATAGGTCCAGAGTAGAGCTTTAGCTTTGCTTTTCACTTTGCAGCTGTGCTCTGTTGGGCCACTAAGGAAAACTCACTTTCAGCTAATGCTTATATGGGGCTATGGAAGTTGTCTAACATCCCTGGGGACAGAGTGTTTGCCCTGAAAAGGAACATTCCCTTGGCACAGAGCATCGTGTTGGCTGGATTTTAGTATAATTATGACAAGAATACTTTTTGCCAAGTAACTGGTGGTTGGGTCATTTTGTGGTTTGCAAACCCATAAAGAGGAAAAGGCCTCTCACGTGTTTGGGAGAGGTGGGAATGGATCAAGCACTAAGGTTAGGTCTGGTGAAGTTAGGGAATAAGGCCAGTGTTTACGAAGAGTGATTCCTTCATGAGCCCCTGAAAGATGCTATTGAACCCTAACAACATTCTGGGAATACAGAGGAAGGCCCCACTGCCTCTACCTTGAGAGCATATCACAGAGAAAGATTTATATTTGGACTAGATTGATGAGAGCTGAGTAGGAGTTTGATAGAAGAGAACAGGGAACTGTCTGAATGTACAATGGCAGAAGTGCCAGGAAAGGCTGAGGAGAACTGTCTTCTGGGAGTGGGTTAGAGATATGGGCCTGGGCACCACATTCTGGAGCTTGCAATGGGGTATGTAAAAGCTTAGACGGGATGGTCTTTTCCTGTCCTGTGACTTCGTAGTGGGCTCACCTCACTCACTGTTGCAAACAAGCTGCCCCCATTTGAGAGAGAGCTGGCGTGGGGTCTCTAAGCCTCCAGCAACCACTTAGGAGCCAGCCTTGAAGCCCTGGCAGCTAACTCTTCCCATGGAGACCCCATAGTCCATTCTGTCTTGGGAAGACAACACAAGCTTGCAGAAGGTAACATTCCCCCTCCAGACTCCAGAGGCTCCAAGGAGACTCGCTATCTTCAAGAAAAGAAATATTCACTGAGCCGTGGATGGAGGTGAACATGGTTTGGGACTAACATGCAGCTGGATGGTTTCACTTCCATGGTCATACAGTGGTACTGGGAGATGAATGGGGTAGGGCGATCAACATTTAGTTCAACATCAACTTCCGGTGGGGCGGTGATTGGTAGTTGACTCATTTTGGCCCCATTTGATATTCGCAGTCACCAGTTGGGGTAGGTGTGACTGTTGCTCCCATTTCACAGATGAGGACAGGATAGTTTGCTAGAGGTCACAGGACTAGTTGGGGAAGGGAAAGGGTGGATTTTAACCTTAGAAGGTAGGATTTTAACCTTAGAACCTCACGTTTTCTTAGGATCTTTCAGGGAGACCTTGGGGAAATTCCTTTCTGTCTTGGTGGGGGGGGGTTCTCCATTCCTTATTTGTAAATTAAGGAGTTCTTCCAGTTTGTGATTGTCTGTACTTTAACGTTTAAACGTATCACTTGGATAGGTTTTTAAAAATAAGGATGCTGGGAACCCCAATATGTTTAAGTAGAGTAGGTCTGGGGTGAGGCCCAGGAATCTGCAGCTTTTAACTAACCCGGGCATCAACAAAACTGGCTGAGAAGCTCAGGTAAAGTTTATGATGCGTGAAAATCTTATTGTGAGCTATCCAAAACACATAACGCTGAGCTCCATCTGCAGAGATCCTGTTTTGATATGCTTGGTTGGACTGTGGCTTGGTAATTTGCATTTCTCAGAAGTGAGGCCAGTCAGCTGGTCAACCACCCCGCCTGTCGCTCTGTGAGCGTCCCCGGTCGTCCGCGGTGCTTCTTTACTTGCATCTTGTGGGAATGACATCTGCGCAGGCAGCCCCTTTTTAGCACCGCCACGGGCACGCGAGCCTAGCCCTTAAAATCCCAGCCCAGCCCTGGATTTGCAGATACTCAGGGCAGGGGAAGGCGCCTTTCCGCGTTTGGTGTAGTCCCGCATGCTGCCATAAGATGGCACCAGAGAACGCGCCTACCGGGATAGGGCAGGGCAAGGAGGCGGGAAAGAAAAAAAAGCGACGAGTGAAGATTGACATCCATTAAGTTCAATCTTTGGTTCTCTGACTTCCAAGCTTCCCATTCTCTTAGGAGGCTGCATTTGTGGCGCTAAAAGCAGGGATGGGCGTGGGAGATGCCGGGACATGTGCTCGCTGAAGATACACCTGTTATTCCAAGGTAACTCCCGCTCGTAGTGGCTCAACCCTCTTTGTTAATTCCCCTTCCTCTCAGTTAACTAGGGCTGCTTCACCTGTCTCTAGGCAAACCTACTCCCCATCGCGTTGGGTGTTTTGGAGTTTTTAAAAGCGTCGCAGGGTAAAGTCAGCTTTGTGCTTTTCCTTTTCTCAGCAGGTAAGAATTTCTGGCGCTGACGGCGGGGAGCTGCAGGGCGGGAGCGGGGTGAAGAGAGAATAGGGTGAGAGATAACAGGTGTGAAGCGTCCCTCAGTGCCAGGCATCGTGCTTTGGCACCTTCCATAAGTTTGTCCCAATCATCTTTCTATTTAATTCATTTTCTGTTCACAGATTAGGAAACCTCAACTA